GGGGGGGGGGGGGGGCAACACACCAACAATAGAAGGCCTAACAATTCTTGCATACCAAGAAATTAGCAAATAAACAGGGAAGCCATCTAGTTTTTCCATTTGGTTGTCAAAGGAGAATTGGCAGTTTGGTTTTTAACTCTCATTGGAAAAAAAAATCAGGTATCTATTGCCTTTTCATTTTTTTAAAACTCACTATAATGAGAAAGCAAATTCTTTTCCTTAATTTCCACTGACTTAAGATCCTATTCAGAGTTGCAACATATCATTGAGCATCTCTGATATTAAAAATGCTAAAGATTAAGGGAAATTAAATATGGGTATTTTGAACTTAAAATGCAAACATTTTTAAAGCATCTACTGAATATTTTGATAAAAAAGCTTAGTAGTCACATATTACAAACACTAACCATGACTTGAGAAAACACAAGGTAGTTAATCAGGCTTTGAGTGGATTCAATGAAATTGAGTAATACTATTCACTTAATCTCCTCATCAGGGGATGAGTCCATTAAGAAAGAATGAAACCAGTCTCATACATAAGAACAAATACCAACTGGATCAAGGGGGCCAAAATCTACAGGAGAATAAAACAACATTATGAAGGGAAAGAAGAGCAAAGGAACAGCAAAAGAAGTTAAAAAATCCAGTTGTGAATGGAAACAAAAGACATTACTAATGCTGACAGACATCAAGACCTCTATACACAGTACCTGTTGTGAAAGAGTAGACTCAGTCTCTTGTATCTATTGATGCCAAAAGGCACAAAATTATGTGCAGCAAGTTTAGCATAATAGCAGCTGATAGACTGCTTTCGCTTTAATAGGAGTTTCTGTCAAGGAAGAAGTACAGATACTATAGAAAAAAGTCTATCATTCCAGTTAGGGTACAAACAATTTCTAGTTAGTGTACAAACAATTTCAGCAGGAGTTACAGAAGGAGGTCTATACTCTTAAGTTTGAAAGAACAATGGCTAGCCAAGTAACTAGTTGAGACAAAGGAACACAGGAGAGAACACAAATAATATGTGCTCAATTTAGACAAAACTTCTGAATTGTAAATGTGTTGCTCCAAGAAGAAACTAAATATGGACTGTCAAAGCCAGACTTCCTAAATACAAATCAGAAGTATTAAAGTATGCTACCTTTATATTTAATATATTATTGAACACGTTAAAAAAAAAGTCACAAGGTACATTTGACATTCTGACTGAGGTAACTGTCACAACTTCATAAGCTTTTCTTTCCCTTGATGCTAAGTAAAGTTGGAGAGTTTTTAATTTCTCTGCACCCCATCTCTAGCTCATATACACTTGCTTTTTATATTTTCTTTTTGCTGGTATGCCAACAGGCTTTCAAATTCTGTTCTTGACTGAAATGTATTTCTGACTTAGAGCTTTAATATCGGCAACCCCCGCTTAGCGTTGTTAATTGGTTCCCGAAAAACTGAGCGTTAAGCAGAATAGCATTAAGTGAAACCTTCTGCCAGCTGTACAATGCCCGTGAGCATTACAACGAAACTTGCTGAGCACTAAGTGGAATTGAGTATCAATGTAAAATGAGCCTTATAGTGAAATAACGCTAAGTGAAACAGCATTAAGCAAGAGTTGCCTGTACTTGTTTTGCTAAAATAATCATACTTCAGAAGAAAAATGTGGCATTGCAACACCTATGACAACATGACATATGAAAAAAACATATCAGAAGCATATCAGGCTCAGCCAACAGTCTTTAAAGGACACAGTGGAAAGTTTTCCAACTAAACTATTCTTCCTAAATAGAAAATTCTCTCCCGGGTCCACAAAGTTGGAACCTGTGGACCTGCTCCGGGAATGGAGACGACCTTAGTTCTTTTGACGAGCATGTTGAGGGACTTTGTGCTCTCTTTAGCTCAGCATGCCTCTGTTTCCCTGGGGAGTGATGGAAGCTCACACCTCTTTCTAACCTTAGTATGCATGCATGGGACATGGCAAGTACCGTATCCACTTGAATCTAAGACAACCTGAGATTTAAAACAACACCCCCAATAATTAGATTCTATATGTGGAAAAATTATAAATTTGTTATAATTTTCCATGTATAGAATCTAATTATTGGAAGGTCATCTTTAATTCATCCCCTCCACCACTGCAGGGGGGCAGGCAGTGGGGAGGCAGGTACTGTGGGGAGATCAAGCAGCTTGACTCCTGCTTGTGCCTTCCTCTCCCCTCCCCACTCCACTATGCATAGGCAGGCTCTGTCCCCATTCCAGCCTGCAGCACTGAGCATGGCCTCAGCTCAGCCCAGCCCCCACAGCTGCTAAGCAGACTGCATCTTGCTGCTATGGGGCTGGGCTGGGGCCATGCTCAGGGCCCAGGTTGCAGTGTGCATAGAGCCTGCTGGAACAGAGCAACAATAAAGGGGGAGGGGAGGCAAGTGGGGGAGCAGAGGATGTGGGGAAATGGGAAGAGAAGGCTGTGGGGAGGAGATGGCAGGATGCAGAGGCAGTGGATGGGGTGTGAGGACACAGGCAGCAGCTGCAGCTACAGCCCTGACACTAGGTAGAAGCTGGAACCCAAGCCACAGCAGCCATCTGCCCCCACATCACCTTCATTTGTGATTCTAAGATGAAAAGCTTTACCACGGGGGACAGGATGGGAGAGCTAGAAAAACCTCATCTTAGAATCAAGTAAATACCATAGTGTCTCTCAGGAGTTAGGGTTGCCACAAATAATACAAGAACTATATCTTTGTTATGTTAGGTCATGTGTCTGTGTCACAGGCTACAGCAACAGAAACATTTTCTAATACAGATTTGTGGTTTAAAGCAGAATATACCTTACATCAGGTTAAGTGAATGTGAATTCATAAATCTATAGGTGATGTTGTTGGATGAGGTCTACAACTGACTCCAAGGCTACAGACAGACTTTAGCAATAATACTGTAAGTTTCATAGCTTTACACAAAGCTCTAAAATTTAGTGTTATCAAAACCAGACAAACGAACGGATCCTTTCCATGTGGGCTTGTGCCTCCATGCAAAGAGCAAGTCCAGGCAGCAAGGGGTGATGCCGCCTGCACTGTAAGCCAGCCAGGGCTCCAGATGCCAGCTCGCAGCCAACTGGGCTATCAGCAAGCAGCAGCAACAGCAGTCCACCCCCCGTACCAAGCAGCAGCATGGCAAGGGCTTGCAGTGCCAGCTAGAGGGGGCACAGGCATGGGCTGGCTCTCCAGGCTGGGGTCCCAGAAGGTGCAGAACCTAGGCTGGGGGCTGGAAAGGCCTCCAACAGCCAACTCCCCCACCCCGCTTCAGTTTAACAATGGCTGGCTCTGCTGGCACCTGAAAATGACTGCTGAAATTGATGAAGCTTCAGGCGGCTGTGCCCTGAGGCTCTCAAAGACAGGCACCAGGCAGCATGGGCCAGAGCTGGCAGCCCAGGCTGGGTACTGCACCCCCAGACAGTGCCCAGATCATAAAACCCTCTCCCTACCCCACATCCCAGCCCAGGGAGCTAAGTCCCTGAATCCCTGCCCCCCAGAAAGGGGCAGAGAGAAGGTAGCACGGAACTGGGCAGAGATTCGGACTTGGCAGGGTCCAACTACCCGCCACCCCTCCACAATGCAATGTCCACCGTGCCCTGTGACACAGGCAGCTAGCGCAGCTCACCACTCCAGAGCTCCCTGGCAATGCCAGATTTGTCAATTTCAGGTCTGAAAATTGACAAGACACTGAGTCTCTCTATCTCCTCCCTGTGGCTGACTAGGGGCATGACAACTAAAACTCTAAACTTTGGACAGAAGTGTACACAGATTCCCCGAGTAGCACTTCAAGAGAAAAGACTTAGTTTGATACTTGATTAGATGAGGTTTAGTTTTTCACCCAACTGGTCATTTTTTAAGCAGTCTGCAGCTGTGCATTTGCATTTGGTCATGGCTTCAGACTGCATTTTGTGGCACAAACTGTCACTTCTGTCTGCACCTCAAATTGCCAAATGTCATATGGAAATGCCCTTATCACAAGTGATCTGGATGATCAAATGACTCAAAGGGATAGCTGAATAATGAGCCAGTGAGACACGTGTGTCCTGTAAATCTCATAGCACATGAGAGGTCCCCCTTTCCAAAAAGTGTTTGTATCTTGTGACCCTGATTCTGCAACAGAAGATAAATAGTATGAATATCTGGCTGTGCACATTTTATTACAGGATTTAAAACTCTTCCTGCATAACACAGGACATAGGACCACCCTGAATCTATACATGCTCTAAAGTCCAGTGTTTCAGTTGTGTTCCAACCAGGGTATTTATTACATACCTTTCTTGTTTCTCTGCCACAGCAAGTCGATCAGCATCTGGATCATTTGCTAAAATGATTTTAGCCCCTTCTTTTTCAGCCAAAGCAAAAGACAATGTCTGAAGACAATGGTAAAGGACAATACCAGGAGAGTTAATACACATAAACACATTCTCACTTTCTTATAAATCAATAACAGTCCTATTTTATGTTCGCTCAAACTCAGAAAAGCACAAAGTTAAAGATAATGATTCTGAAACTAATTCAAGAACACGTCAGTATTGAAGGAGTTTAAATGGGTAACATACAATGAAATCAGAGACTAAATGACAATTAAATCTTTCTTCTCTTTCTACATCAGGGGCCTAGATCCAGTTAGCTTTGCATCAATAGATTATTTCCATCAAGTTCAGCAGGATTACTCAGACAAGTCAAATTACTCAGTGAGCCTTCACAGTACAACACTCAACAAGCTGCAGTTGGTATAAGCCACCCCTGTATTTTAAGTATTTAACAACTGTTAATGAATTCTTGTTGTATTTGAAAAAAAACACTCAAAAAAACTTTGAACATATGGGCTGTTTTTATGTCATACTTCTATCATAATTTGACATCTAAAATAATCTCCCAGGTTTTTCCTTACCTTTTCTTTTCCTTTTTTTTTTTTAAGGGAATATAATTCTATTTTAATCTCTGCACAGATATGCTACATTCTAGCTAAAGAGCTAAAAACAATCTAATTGAAAGGACATTTTAGCCCATCAAGAAGTGTGTACAGATATGCAAATTAAAAACCCCCAATATATTTGGAATAGTTTCTAAAGCTAAGTTTACTTCAAGCATTTTTTTTTAATAATTTTAATATAGACTGTAAATAGTCTAAAAAAAAATTGTTTTACCAGAACACCTTTACCCTCTTCAGGATTTGGATATTTTACTGTTGGAAATTCTGGATCAGGTTCCTTCTGTTCTGGAACAGCAAATGGAGGTTTGAAGCCAAACGCCTCAAAGGCTAACTGCACAAATTCATGGCCTACGCCATGCACGGAAGTATGAACAAATTTCAGATTTGTTTCCTTGTTTATATTCCTGAAATCAAATAAATAGTGAAATTAATGTATTTGCATGGCGTTTGATTAGGAGCACAGACCAAGGAGAAAGGAAAAAAAACGTGTGTGTAACACATGGATGGGATGCAGTATCCCTGACTTAGGTATTCAGATACAGATATTAAAGTACAGTATTCCTGACTTAGGAGGAAGCCACATCTATAATGCTACTTGTTCTAAAGCCATTTTCTTCCCCACTTCCCCTGTCATTACTTTTTAAATTCCTAGTACTTGGAGGCACATGCAAATAGGTACATTACAAAATATAATTTTTAAGACATTGCTGGCTTTCTAGTATATCAAGGTACCAGTTTGTAGCAAAATGGGTAACAATAAGTTTACCAACAGTAGTTAAAAGTTTTGGTCCTTGGGGCCATGCTTTTTTGGTTGTAATATTCTTTGTTTAAATCATGTTAAAAATAGATGTTTGTCACCAAGAACTTTCATGACATTTATCACTAGTTCACCTGTGAAAACACAGCTTCTGTATATCTTTAAAGTAGTCTTTTTTTATAGTAGCATAAGGATCATGATGTAGTGAGCTGTTCTCTATCAAACTATCATTCCAAGCCTCAGGCCATGGCTCTTGGTTCTCTTCAATTGCTTCAGAGATTCCTTTGTCATGAGGAGATATTATCTGTGCACCATTTTCCCAGTAAACCTAAATGTACACAAGATAAACAGGCATTACTCTGAACATCAAATATACAAAATACCCATACTACAACTTATGGATGACTAAAACTGATACAGAATAAAATTACATGGTGTAATACACTTTGGATTCCGATTTTTTCCAAAGCTATGTTTCTCTGAGGGTGTCACAGTATGTATTTAAGTACCCACAATAAAAGAAAGAATAAAAAATAAAATAAAAGGTAAACAAAATCACCTCAGCTCATTCAGTGGTAAAACCACATTTCAGATGTTTTGCTAGCCAGATGGTTAATACTTGTTGTAGCAGGGCACTAAGGTGCCTGGTACTGACAAGCAGTAATATGGGCTCAGCTGCCAGTCACCAGGGCAGCACAAGTGTGGGTTGCCAAGACAACCAGTCTGGTCAGCTGACCGGAAGGGGGCAGGGCCTGGCCTTTATAAACAGCCAGGCTGAGGCCAGAAGGGCAGTTCTTCTCTGGCAGTTGCTGAAGATAGAGCTCTGTGGGAGCAAGCCAAGTAGAGGAGCCTGGGGGCATGAGCAGCTTATCAGAGAGGATGCCAGGTAGAGGAACCCCTGACAGGGATGGAAATGATGATGAGCCAGAGGGCTAAAGTTTGCGTTGTAGCCAGGAGGCTTATTTTTGTGTTGCAGCCGATTGGCTTATGGTTTTGCTTTGTCATTACACCGGAGGACCGGTGAGGCTGTAGGGGTTGGAGGAGGCCTCATGGGAGCTCCCCAGTAGTGTGTGGGGGGGGTTCCTGGCACTGGAGAGGGTGCTGCGTTTTGGGGGTCCCAACCCTGGCCCCAGTGTGGGCAGCATCGGAAGGAGCCCAGTATGGGTGCAGGCAAGAAGCCCCAGTGGGGCATAGGACCCAAGAAGGGGGTCTGGGGGCCAAGTAAGGCTGAGGCTGCCTGAGCCCTGATTGTTGGGAAGCCCCAGTGGGGCGTAGGACCTGGAAAGTGGGTCTGGAGGCCAGGCATGGCTATGGCCACCTGAGCCTCAATTGTGGGAAGCCCCAGTGGGGTGTAGAACCCAGAAAGAGGTCTGGAGGCGAGACAGGCCCTGGTGCAGGCTGCGGGAATCGCGAGGCAAGACAGGCCCCAGTGGGGCAAGAGCGTGGGAGAAGCTAGGAGGTGCCCGCAAGGGCACAGGTGGGCAATGGGAACAAGTCCGGGGACCCGTGAGGGCACTGGTGACTGTGGAACTCGCATGCAGCCCCAGAGGTTGGAGGGCACTGAGCAACTAGGCAGAGCCAGG